CACGTTTGAAGTTTGCAAAAGAGCACCTGGATGTTCCACAGCACTACTGGCAGGATATACTGTGGACAGATGAAACCAAGATTGAGTTGTATGGGAAGAACACCCAACACTATGTGTGGAGAAAAAAAGGCACAGCACACCAACATCAAAACCTCATCCCCACTGTAAAACATGGCGGAGGGAGCATCATGGTTTGGGGCTGCTTTGCTGCCTCAGGGCCCGGACGGATTGTTGTCATTGATGGGAAAATGAATTCCAGAGTTTATCAAGACATTTTGCAGGAAAACGTACGACCATCTGTCCACCAACTGAAGCTCCGCAGAGGATGGGTGATGCAACAGGACAATGACCCAAAGCATACAAGTAATTCAACAAAACAATGGCTGCAACAGCACAGAATACACCTTCTGGAGTGGCCCAGTCAGAGTCCTGACCTCAACCCGATTGAAATGCTGTGGCATGACCTTAAGAGAGCGATTCACACCAGACATCCCAAGAATATTGCTACACTGAAACAGTTTTGTGAAGAGGAGTGGTCCAAAATGACTCCAGATCGTTGTGCAGGTCTGATCTGCAACTACAGGAAACGTTTGGTTGAGGTTATTGCTGCCAAAGGAGGGTCAACCAGTTATTAAGTCCAAAGGTTCACATACTTTTTCCTCCCTGCACTGTGAATGTTTACATGTTATGTGCAATTAAACCATGGCAACATCTAATGTTTGTGTAGTATTATGTTCAGCAGACTGTGTTCTTCTATTGTTGTGACTTAGATGACGTTCAGAGCACATTTTATGCCCAATTCATGCAAAACTCCACGGAATCCCAAGGGGTTCACATACTTTTTCTTGCAACTGTATGAAGAAATCTGATTTTATGGGATATGTTTTATAACAAAGTAGAAGATATCATTTGTTTTCATAATTAAAAAATAACCCCCCCCCCAGTGGTGATCAAATATCACCAATAGAAAGCACTATTTATATCAGTGAAACTTGTGTGCAGTGTAGCATGACCGCACAATTGTCAGTTAAAGTAGTGCAGTGCTGAACAGCAAAAAAATGCCCTGGTTATGAAGGGGGTAAAACATTCCGGAGCTGAAGTAGGTAATACATCTTCCTGTCATTGTACAGTTTGGTTTCATTTGTTAGTAAAATGCAGTCCTCCTCATTCCCTGGGTGCATTCACATGTAAATAGGGAAACCAATATGGTCGCTGTGCTCGGACATCCGTCCCCACGTGACCGGTCCGGATAAACGCATGTGAGTGGAAACAGTTTGCTATATGGAGTGTCATAAATAAATGGTATTACACTATGGGAAGCTCTGTTTGTGTCCTATATGACGTTTGAGAGGAGGTGGAGAGGAGGTCCTGTGATTCCTTACTGAGCTGCTTGGAAGCAAAGGATTACCTGGAGGAGAGTTATAGCCTTGTGGCCCTTTGCGGGTTGAGTTGGGGAGGTGAGCAGGCATTGCTGCCATTGGAGGATTTCTTCCCTTTCTTTTTTATGAGCACTAGAAGTGAAGAACACTGAGTGTCGTTTTCACCTTATTGCATGGACTGTGTTTGTTCATTTATGGACACATTTTCATATCTAAACATCACAAGTTTTAGTGGATTTTTTATGTAATAGTTTATTATATGGTTTTTTCACAATTAATCACTTATGTTTGATTGAGATTCACTATTTATGAATTTTTTATATTCTGTTAGGTTGTCACATTGATTATTGGAATTATCACATATATATATATATATTATTTAACACAGGTTTTAGATAATTTTATCACTGTTTAGTCGCATTATCATGGATTTTCTATTTTTTATTAATGTTTGATTTGAAGAAATAATTTATGGGCAAGGAAAGATTTTTTTATTTTTATTTTTATTTTTATTTTGGTTTTCTATTGCACTGTGTGCGTATTTAGGGATTCATTCTAGCGCTTCACTATTTTTGTGTTTGATATTTTATCACCTATTGGTTAAGGCAGAGTGATAGCAGCTGTTAGGATAGGGACTCATCCATACTTAGCGCAGGAGGATATTCCCATTCAATAGACAGGAAGTGATGTTAGGCACAGACAGGAAGTGATGTTAGGCACAGAAAGTAAGGGATGTCAGGTTCAGACAGGAAGTGATGTCAGGCACAGAAAGGAAGGGATGTGAATCACAGACAGGAAGTGAGGTCCAGCACGGGTAGGAAATGATGTCAGGCACGGAAGGAAAGTGATGTCAGGCACAGGCAGGAAATAATGTCAGGTACAGACAGGAAGTGAGGTCCAGCACAGGAAGGAAGTGATGTCAGGCACAGACAGGAAGTGATGTCAGTCACAAACAGGAAGTGTTGTCAGGCACAGACAGGCAGTGAGGTCAGGCACAGACAGGAAGTGTCCTCGGGCACACACAGGAAGTGATGTAAGGCACAGACGGGAAGTGATGTCGGACACAGATGGGAAGTGATGTCAGGCACAGACAGGAAGTAATGTCAGGCACAGACAGGAATGAGGTCAGGCACAGACAGGAAGTGATGTCAGGCACAGACAGGAAGTGTCCTCAGGCACAGACAGGAATGAGATCAGGCACAGATGAGAAGTGATGTCGGGCACAGATGGGAAGTGAGGTCAGGCACAGACAGGAAGTGAGGTTAGTCACAGACAGGAAGTGACTTCAGGTACAGACAGGAAGTGATGTCAGGCCCAGACAGGAAGTGAGGTCAGGCACAGAGAGGAAGTGATGTTGGGGACAGACAGGAAGTGATGTTGGGCACAGACAGGAAGTGACATCAGGCACAGACAGGAAGTGATGTCAGGCACAGACAGGAAGTGATGTCAGGCACAGACAGGAAGTGATGTCAGGCACAGACAGGAAGTGATGTCTTTATTTTGTGACATTCATGCATTTGTAATTTTCATCTTGCCGTGGTCCGTTAATAAATCATATGCCATTCACTGAGGGGATCTCTGTACCCCATAGATCATTTTGCGCACTGTTACAGCTAGGGTTTTTTGCACTTCCACTCTTTATAGGGAGATAGTGTATACAGTAAATCCCCTGGGGTCTGTGGCATAGCTAGTAACCGGTATTGGGGTTCTGTGTATTGAGACTTCTCTGTCTCCTCCTTACTATGTGGTAGATCGCGGATCCACGGCAAAATGGCGCTGCCGTGCTCGCGCATGCGCAGTGCGTGTTTTTTTCTCCGGGAAAATGGCCGCGGTTTATTGCGCATGTGCCAATTCCCCTATTTCTGACACTGGCGTCGGTCACGCTCCTGTACAGTCTCCCCTCTGATGATGTGCCTTTAGCACGAAAGGCCTTAGGAGGAACTGTGCAGAGCGTGACGTCATTCCACCGCCGGAGCCACGAGGAGGCCCGGCGGTCATCACTACTGGGGTCAGTATTGCTGTATTTATCCTTTACATGATGTACAACATGCATACTGCCCTGCTGTTTTTATAAATAAACATTAGTGTTTGGACATACTACACTATTTTGGGCATCTGTTTTCTGGGGCTCCTGTCTGGAGCTTACACTCCCATAGAGAAAGCACTTTGCCATCCTGAGAGGAGGTTTTTCCTGAAGCACCTGGCTGACCTTAAGGGGACCCCCTGGACCTGTTATAGGAGTCTGTGATGACCTACCGTGAGGGAGATGCCTGGCTGCCTGGTTTCTGATGTACCCATTGCCTGTGATGCATAATCACACATGCGCATAACCCATGCGTTTCCGGTGAGTGCGCATTTCTGTTATTCTGACAGAGTGGAGGCCGTGGGAATCCGTATTTCTACAGTATATCATTGTAATACCAGTTTATCACCTTATTGACTTTTCATCTTTTTAAGCGCTGCACTCTATTATTTTGAGATTGATTGTTTATGTTTAAGGCATTATGGTTGCCTAAAGTGTTCCAGCTGCTGACATTTATTAGAGCGCTCACTAAGGAATTATTTACACCTCCTCCTATTACAAGTCATAGAGCAATAGTGAGGCTGCTTGACCATAAAAAATATTCTGATCTTGGCTATCATCTCAAACTCCCAGCAGACAACAGTGGATTGAGCAGGTGAACTCCACACTAACATGTGAAAAATGAACTCTCCAACATTGTAATTCCCCCAGGAGATGTATGTCTGGCAGAACTGGCTGGATACTCCTTGCTCACTCCTAGTTAGTTCTTCATAGGCTTTTAAAATCTTATCTCTTTTAGCCCCATAGAAGGAGAACGGCCAGTTGTATCCTACTGAATGGTGACTACATTGGAGACCCATACTTGGGGTATGATCCTGTAGACACAGGCCTCATTGATCGGTGTCAGCTATCTATGTATGTACTGGGGGGAGTTACTTGCCGTGTACAGCTGAATTGTTCTAGGTTGTTTCTTCTTTTCTCTGTTCATTTGTTTATAAAAGGTAAAAGTGACACCATAGACAAAGCAAGTTATTGTTCTGTATGATCTGTAACAGTGCCACAACTGCCTATACGTGAGAATGTATGACTCCATTGTCTGGGCTGAATGTTGGGAATACTGTGCGCACTTAGAAACTTTATTAATAAAATCTATTTGATTAAAAAAAATACTGTAGATAATGCTGTACATATTCTTTCTATTCATAAGATATATTTAGTAATGAACATTAAAAATAGAAAAGCAACTTTATGTAGCCCTTTATATAGAATTCTATCTTTTTTTTTTTTCTCTACAGGTAGATTGATGAACCAAGTTTTTGGGACATGTTGGTCTTCATGAATACAGCTGAGTCACATGGAAAATAAACACATGGATGTCTTAATTGACTGAAAGTCTTTACTGCAGTTCACTGGAGGATTCACACGGGATACAAGTCATATCTGTGTTCTAAAAGTCATGGTTTGGATCCTCTTCCACATTGATCCAGCAGGAGAAAAGTAATTTCAGTGTTCTGGAAGTGACAATGGCTTTACAATAAAGTCCAACCCCAGTATACATAAGAGGAGTCATTTCAAACTACTTGTTTGTAGATTTTACAATGGAGAGAAAATATATCACACACCAGAAGGCTTGCAAGGGAGAGAAGCCATATCATTGTTCTGAATGTGGCAAAACTGTTACAAGCAAGAGAGAGTTTATAATACACCAAAGAGTTCACACTGGAGAGAAGCCATATCAGTGTTCTGAATGTGATAAAGCTTTTACAGAAGTCAAAGATCTTAAGAAGCATATCACCAATGTGTTCACACTGGAGAGAAGCCATATCAGTGTTCTGAATGTGTTTTACTCATATCAGTGTTCTGAATGTGATAAAGCTTTTACACGAAGTCACATCTTATCACACACCAGAGTTCACACTGGAGAGAAGCCATATCAGTGTTCTGAATGTGATAAAGCTTTTACAGAAGTCAGATCTTATCACACACCAGAGGATTCACACTGGAGAGAAGCCATATCAGTGTTCTGAATGTGATAAAGCTTTTACACGAAGTCACATCTTATCACACACCAGAGGAGTTCACACTGGAGAGAAGCCATATCAGTGTTCTGAATGTGATAAAGCTTTTACTCAAAGTCAGATCTTATCAGACACACTGGAGAGAAGTCATTGTTCACACTGGAGAGAAGGAGAGAAGTCCATATCAGTGTTCTGAATGTGATAAAGCTTTTACAGAAGTCACATCTTATCAGACACCAGAGGATTCACACTGGAGAGAAGTCATATCAGTGTTCTGAATGTGATAAAGCTTTTACACAAAAGTCACATCTTATCAGACACCAGAGCTTCACACTGGAGAGAAGCCATATCAGTCACACTGGAGAGAAGCCATTTTATCATGCTCTCAATGTGACAAAACTTTTACAGTTAATGCCGGTCTAATCTATCACCGGAGGATTCACACTGGAAGAAGTTTCAGCATAGATAAATTCTGGAAAAAAGGATATTAATAAAAGAAGTTTCAGGTGTCACAAGTTAGTTTCACATCCCCAATGTCATCCCACAAGCTAGAGAAGAAGGGAGAAGATAAAATGTTACTTTAAAAGAAAAGAAACTAAAATCTGAGCAAAACTGGAATGTAATGATTGGATGAACTGAGTTTAGTGCTTATGTCCATCAATACACAACTAGAAGGGATTTGAATATTTTATCTTTTGACAATTTTTTTTAAGATAAGCATCAATAACTGAACAGCTTCCCTCATGATTCTCATCTTTATCTTTTTTTTTTTATGGAGCTTTGAATGAACATGCAATGCATTTTCATGATTCACCAACTGAGTTGTGTTTCCAAGCATTTTCTTCATTTCTGGATCCTGAGGTAATACATGACCAACACTGCCTGCCTCAGTACCAGAGACTAGGATGGGGTCTATTGTCATCTTACCAAGTCTCTGAAGCCTCAGTGGGAGAGTCCATTCCAGGTTCTTCTGACTATTGATACATGATCAGCCAGGCTTGAGGTCTCCAGCTAAGCCCACCTTGTCCACTCCTCCCATTACATGTTCCATCTCCTCTCCCATTATCAATGCCTTCTTTCCACATTTCATCTCTCATCATATATTATTTATTATTATTATTATACAGGATTTATATGGCGCCAACAGTTTGCTCAGCGCTTTACAATATAATGGGAGACAATACAGTTCAATACAAGTTTATAGGAGGAGGGCCCTGCTCCTCGAGCTTACAATCTAGGAGGGAGGGGCTAGTGGTACAAAAGGTAGTAACTGTGGGGGATGGACTGGTAGGAAGAGTAGAAGATTCCATTATTAGCTGAGGGCAGGATAGGCTTCCCTGAAGAGAGGTTTTTTCATTGCCTAAAAGTGAGCAGAGTAGGCAGTAGTCTAGATAAATTGGGGTAGAGATTCCAGAGGATGGGGGAAGCTCTGGAGATGAGCATGGGAGGAGGAGACAAGGGAGCTAGAGAGCAGGAGGTCGTGCGAGGAGTGGAGAGTACGGTTTGGGTGATATTTGGAGACAAGATTGGTGATGTAATTTGGGGCAGAGAGTTATAAATGGCTTTATATGTTATTGTTAATGTTTTGAATTTTATCCATTGGGCAATGGGAAGCCAGTGAAGGGATTGGCAGAGAGGGGTGGAGGACACTGAGTGAGGCCAGTGGAGGGATTGGCAGAGAGGGGGGAGTGGAGGGATTGGCAGAGGGGGTGGAGGACCAGTGGAGGGATTGGCAGAGGGGGGAGAGGACACTGAGGGAGGCCAGTGGAGGGATTGGAGGGGGGCAGAGGAGGGTGAGGGGGATGGAATGCACACTGAGTGGAGGGATTGGAGAGAGGGGGGTGGCTGATATTGGCAGGAGGGGTGGTAAGGTGGATGAATCAGGTGCAGTAAGGTGGATTCATGCATGAGCATTCATTCACTGAAGAGGGGATAGCCTGCAATGAGGTCGGCAATGAGGAGGGAGTTACAATAGTCAAGGCGAGATATAACAAGGGAGTGAATAAGTTGCTTAGTGGTTTCCGAGGTTAAGAACGGCTGTATCTTGGAGATGTTGCGGAGGTGAAGTCTACAAGATTTGGACAGTGATTGGATTTGGGACTGAAAGGACAGATGGGAGTCTAGGATTACACCTAGTACCCTGGCATGAGGGGAGGGACTGATGATTGTGTTATTGATCTTGATGGAGAAGTCAGGGAGGGGGGGCACAGGCTGGAGGGAATACTAAGAGCTCAGTTTTGGAAAGATTGAGTTTGAGGAAGTGGAGTGACATCCATGCCGATATGTCACTTAGTAGGGTAGTAATGCGAGCGAGAGGAGACTAAAGGGGTGAGAGGAGGAGACTGAAGGGGTGAGGTGAGGGGTAGAAAGATAGATTTGTGTGTCATCAGCATAGAGATGGTACTTAAAGCCATGGGAGTTTATCAAGTGACCAAGGGAGGAGGTGTAGATGATGAGAAGAGTAGGGGTCCAAGGACAGAACCTTGAGGACCCTACAAAAAGAGGGAGTGAAGAGAGGAGGAGGCAGAGTTAAAGGTAATGCTGAAGGAGCACTGCGATAGGTAGGAGGAGAAACCAGGAGAGAGCAGAGTCTTGGAGGCCAAGAGAGTGGAGTTTTTTGAGGAGGAGGGGATGGTCAACTGTATCAAAAGCCGCAGAGAGGTCATGTAGTAGAGTAGGAGCAGTGGCCATTGGTTGGGATGAGTACGGAGTAGTGGCCATTGGTTGGGAGTAGTAGGAGTAGGCCATTGGTTGGGATGAGTACGGAGTAGTTTTGGAGAGTAGGAGTAGTGGCCATTGGTTGGGTGAGTACTGTAGTAGGGCCATTGGTTGGGATGAGTAGGAGTAGTGGCCATTGTTGGGAGAGTAGGGAGTAGTGGCCATTGGTTGGGATGAGTACGGAGTAGTGGCCATTGGTTGGGATGAGTACGGAGTAGTGGCATTGGTTGGGAGAGTACGGAGTAGTGGCCATTGGTTGGGATGTTGTACGGAGTAGTGGTTGGTTGGGGTCCGGAGTGGGGGCCATTGGTTGGGAGTGAGTACGGAGTAGTGGCCATTGGTTGGGATTTTAGTAGGGTAGTGGCCATTGGTTGGGATGAGTAGGAGTAGTGGCCAGGTTGGGATGAGTGGAGTAGGGCCATTGGTTGAGTACGGAGTAGTGGCCATTGGTTGGGATGAGTACGGAGTAGTGGCCATTGGAGGGGATGAGTACGGAGGGGTGTGGCCATTTGGTTGAGGATGTTGGGATGGTTCGGAGTAGTGGCCATTGGTTGGGAATGAGTACGGAGTAGTGGGTGAATGGTTGGGATGAGTTTGGTTTTGGTTGGGCTCCAGTACGAGTAGTGCCATTGTTTTTGAGCAGTTAGTAGAGATCTTAGTGAGTTTGTCAGTAGGGCAGTGTCAGTGTGTGTAGTGGTCGAAAGCCAGACTGTAAAGGGTTAGAAGAAGGTTGTTGTCGGTGAGGTGGGAGAAAGGCGATGTTGTAGACAAGCAGTTCTAGGTTTAGGGGTAGGACAGGGGAGCAGGATTCTGTCATAGGTCTTAAGTTGTTCAGGTTGGTGGGGTCCAGGGAGGGTTTGTTAAGTATGGGAGTGATGTGCGCATGCTTTAGAGGGGAGGGGGGGCACCAGTAGAGAGGGAGAGATTGAAGATGTGAAGTGAGGGAGCATAGATGGATGGAAGAAGGTACTGGGTGTTTGTGAGGTTGTAGGATATCATCTCATGGGTGACAACCTTTCAGGCAGGTCTGTGGCTGTGACACCAGCTAGAAAGAAGTCTCTGTTCAGTGAGAAAACAACATCCCAAGCTGATGCAGGCCTTCCAATACTGAGTTACTGCTGATTTAGGGGATGTATTCAGCAGTAAAACGTAAGCCCAGCTGGCCACTTGTGTTCCATGTGGTTCTGCCAAATGGGATTCCATCAGGTGAAGATCAGAAATCCTTGTTCCATGTTTTCTCTTTCCAGCTATTACTCCTCTCCATAGACTAATCACACAATACAACTGCCAGAGATCTGAACTTACAAAGTGCTGAGTGTGCGGTCATATTCCTACCACTTCTTCCGGGGGACTGACATTCCTCTGATTGGGGTTCACAATAATCACTCTGAGTGCACACATCTCTTTTTGGTGGAAAGTTTGTAAAGAAAACTTCTTCTCCCTGGAAATATTACAACGTTGGCACCAAAGTGTAACTATGGGCAAAATCAATAATGACATTAATAATGAAATCTGTCATTAGCAGAGCAGGTTTTGTTTTTCCGAGTCTCCTATTGTTTTATTTTTTGTTGTCCCTCCCAGTAGATTTTTTTTTTTTTTACTTCCTGTAGAAGGCCAAGTCTTTTGGGAAAAATGGCAGTTGGAGGGGTTGGGGCAAATCCTATAACACTGCTGGGGGTGCTCACAACTGTCAGTTGTCATTCATATGGGGGGTTGGACCTTATAGAGAACCTGTTGCTGTAACTGCTGTAGAAGCGTTAGCTGAAGTTGGGCTTTACTTGTTGTGTGTCTTACTTATAATCTATCTAAGACTTCCCTGTACAGGGTGACAACGCTGCTGTGTAATGTTCCTGCAGAATGATCAGGGTTGTCACCCTGTTACAGAAGGTGGGAAAATAACAGATCTACAGACAGGACCAACAGCTGATACAACTATGTTGCAGAGGGAACTCTGGGAATGCTAATGACAGATTGCATTACACATCAGTTAGCAGACTTCCTGCTGTTGGTCTGATGTTTGAATTGTGTTCTGATATTTACTGTCCTGCTGTAAAAGGTGTAAATGATCGCCCGCATGTTTCCTGTAGTAGCAGGGACTACAAACTCATATCAGGAATAGTAGGATGGGTACCTACCCAAGGGGGTCACCTTTTTGGATTTGGGGGGAAAACATTTCACATGGTTTCTTTCCATTAATGACACCGACAAGGGGAGTCTCACTTCACTAACAATAGGAGAGCCAATCACAGGCCAGTAACATTTCATGGTGTCTCAATGTATTGCAGAATGTTTAATCCCCATTGGTCCAATGGATTCCTAGTCCTTCCAGATACATTGCTTCTTGTGTGGAAGGAGCGCCCTAAAATGGCTTCCCTTCAATTCCACCCATAGCTGTACTTTAGGTGATGTTGCCCCTCCCCCATATCTGTAAGGGAAAGCCTCAATTTCTCCCAATACTCCCCTGGCCTTCCAGTGAGAAGAAACATTCTCTGGAGTGGAGATGTTTTATGCAGTGAGCCCTTCATAGACGGGATGGGGAATCTAAGTAATCTAAGATAAGTAAGATGAACCGGTGTACTGGAGTCATGGATCAGATAACCAATGACACCATTGATGGTATAGCAGAGCTGACAGCAGAAGTGGCTCCATCACCTAAGGTGGTGTCACAGAACTGCATGGCGGCTGACTATCTCTCAGAAGATCAAGGCGGAGTCTACAAACTGGTGTCAGAGAGTGTTGTACATTTATATTAGATCATGAGGATCTCAGAAGGAGATATCTACACAAGGTAAAGGAGTTCCAACAGTCACCTGGGTGGGGGGAAGTGGGATCCATTTTCTTGGATGGGTTTAGTTGGAACTTGGTTGAGTAATATGGTGGCTTTGCTACATTCACACTGTTAGGCCAGAAGATTACTTTAAACCCGCAAACATGTTTTATTTTCTGAAGCAAAGACCCTGGAGAATATAATGATGGTGGTTTGCCATTTTCTATGTCACAGCTGTTTGGCAAATGCACATTTTCTGTAAAAAAAAAAAAAACCCACTAAAGATCATTTTAATACACAAAAAAAGCACAATATATGACCCAATTTGTTTGATGAAATATAAAAATATTGTGTTGGCATCAAGTATATTATTATTATTATTATTATTATTATTACATCGAGTTTATATAGCGCCAAAGGGTTTGCTCAGCGCTGTACAATAGAGGGGGGGACAATACATGAAACAGTACAGCAACAACAAACAGCACACACGAGGGGTTACAGGGCCCTACTCTTTCGAGCTTACAATCTAGGAGGGAGGGGGTAGTGGTACAGGAGCAAGTGGCTGTGGGGGATGGAGTGGTAGGAGGAATGAAGGAGGATGGCTGTTAGGTGAGGGTGGGGTAGGCTCCCTGAAGAGGTGGGTTTTCAGGGAGCACCTGAAGGTGAGCAGGGAAGGCGACAATCTGATGGATTGGGGTAGTGAGTTCCAGAGGAGGGGGGAGGACCTGGAGAAGTCTTGCAGTCGTGCGTGGGAGGAGACCAGGGAGCAAGACAGAAGGAGGTCCTGTGAGGAGCGAAGGGTACGGGTAGGGTGGTTTTAAAGTATATAGAGATACTTTAAAAATTGTGTGTATTTGTGAAATGGTGACAAACTTCAGTACCAGAAATTGTCCATAGGTGACGCTTTAAAAGCCTTTACAGGTCATCAGTTTATATAGTGAACCATGAATGATGGCCCTAGAGTTATTCCTCTCCCTCTGGTGTGTGCAGAGATATGTACAATGTGTAGTGTGATTGATGTTTTCCTAC